TGTTGCATTAAAACCCAATTCACTAATCTGAACTGAACGCAAATCCCAACAGGGATACTTATACAAAACTGAACTGAAGCAGTTTCAATGTAACAATTTAAAATATAATGTATACAATGTATTTTTACAATGTATATGTAAAAATATAAAATATACACTCTTTTCTTCAGCTACTTTGACACAATCTACATTGTCAAAAAGCACAATAGAAATAAAGATTAATTTAATTGATGAATAGAAATAAAACAAAAATCCCACATACAAGTTTGTATGTAAACAAACCTATCAATTATGTTCTGTTAAAATATATTTATTTATCATATTCTGTTTATACTAATGCTTTTATTTTTATTTTTTTTACACATGTACAGTTGAAGTTAAAATTATTAGCCTCCCAATTTTTTGGGAATTTTTTTAGATTTTTGTCGAAGATGTTCTTTATGCAACTGAGGCAAATTCTGAAAATACACAGCTATATACATTTCTGGAGAGTGCCAAATACTTTCCAAGAGGCAGTTTATTTATTTATTTATTTTTTGAGATCTCAGATTTTTCTTGCAAGTGCCATTCGCACCTGCTTTTCTTGCGTAAATCCACCAGAGGCCACTGTCGACCGATCGACCGACCGACAGGCCCACCCTCTTCCTTCCCTAATCCCAACCAATAGTGTTTTCAAAAGCACCAACTGACCCATCCACCCACTTACCTAAACCCAACCGACAGTTTTCACCTGATTTTTACCACGTTTTCAGATTTTACCACATTCCTACTGATTTATTTACTTGTTTAATTTATTTTTGGCTTCTGTTTTTGTCTTGCTTGCTTTCTGGAACTGTTTTTCGCCAGACTTGAACCCCGTCATCATGGTCAACTTCTTTCTGCGTCAAGTCCACCAACGTAAATGGCGAGCCACTGGACAAACAGCGGGAAAGCTGTCTATTCAGAGATAAGCGGTCAGCTGGTGAAAAAGAGCTTCATACCACCCTGTGGCATTCGTTTTAAAGAAGAAATGCAGCCATACGTACTTCTGGCTACATAATTCGTGATTTCCAGAAATGTATATAGAGCTACGTTTTCAGAATGAGCCCGTATTGTATTTATGCTAAAACCATTGCTGTTATTTTCTAATATTAATCACTGGGTTTTCCAAAAAAAAAGTATAATTAAAGTGCCTTGGCTTTTTATAAAACACTGATGTACTTGCATGTTACAGTACAGCCACTTCTAAGATACATAACAATTTTAAACAATGAAGATTACATTATGAGTGCATGTGCATCTAATACAATGCTTTAAATGATTCCTTATGATGCCAGGTGGTAGCTAGAGGGGTTTTGGGGTCTTGACCAGAGATTTGTATTAGTTTACACACCCTCTTAAAGGTAGCAGCCAAGAGCCTCCTATTTCTGCCTGCCCTATTTAAAGCAGGGTCTGGTCAAGAGGGTGGCAGACTTTATAGTTTTTATAGTCAGTCATCTCAAATGGCTTCAGCCGAGAAAAGAGTAGAATATAAATGTGCACTAAATTGACTGGAGCTCCTAAAATTTGACCCCTGAGTATATTAAAAATAACACAATATCATCTTGGCTGCTTTAGAAGTATATTTTGGATCGCAATAATCAAAACACATTCTTGCCGAACAGTAACATAAACAGCCCGCATTGGGTGTTTTCTGAGACAAAATAAGTGATGGTTGTTACTGTAGCTGTTTTAAACTTTGTGAATGGACATGATTGGTCAGACTGTCTCCTCACAGCGTGAGTTGCACAATTCTCAGCCAACGCCTGGAAATATTTCACATAAAGGCCACTGGAAGCTGATGGGGAAAATGGAGGCTTGGGGGAAACATACTGAGATTGTACCAACCTCCAGACCGCCCACAATATTTCTAGTAGATACTTTACAGCTAGTAGAACCTAAAGGGAGACTGAATCATCAATTTATTCAAACAAGTAGTATATTAATAAGCAGGAGAAGCAGGTAAGTGATAATTTGCTGTGGAGCTGATGAATAGTTGTTTACATTGTAAACAGATAGCTTCAAGCAGACATAGAGTGTCAAGTCACTTCCCTTAATGATAGCTTTGTTCATCCACAAGTTTGAGAGAATCATCCACATGTTAAATGATCAGAGGAGAGGGGAAACATCCATGGAAGAAGGTGAGTCAGGGAGAAGGTTAGGTGAACCAAAAGACATTGATTCCAGCCACTGACTGACTGGAATCGCTGGGTTATATAGGGAGTGCTGATGAGGGGTGCAGGTGTGCCTGATTAGTACTCAGATGAATGTGCTCGGGCATGATGAGAGGTGGCAGGAGATGGGGAGCGATGATGGAGAGATGGTGCTGAGGGAATGTGATGGTGAGAGAGAGAGAGGGGAGTAGGTGGAGCAGCAGGAACAAGCCGGGGATGTGACAAGATTACATTAAACAGACAGGTTTAGTTTTGTTTGCAGTTGTTTTAACAAATGTTTTAACTTAAGGTAACAACATTAATGCTTGTTGATTCAACTTTCAAGACAAAACAAAAAAACAAAAAACTTAAAATGTGTTTTATGAACAATTTATTGAGACGTTGTTCTTTCTTGAAATAACTAAATGACAAAAAAAACATATTGTTGGATGGTTGGAGAACATGTCACTTATTACTAGTTTCATTAAATAATTTCATCACCAGGAAGAATTTATTAAATGTCATTTATTCCTTCATTCATTCATTTACCTTTAACTTAGTCACATTATTTATTAGGGGTCACCACAGCAGAATGAACCACCAACTTATCCATCATTTGTTTTACACAGCGGATGCCTTTCCAGCTGTAGCCCAGTACTTGGATACATCCATACACACTCAAATTCACACTCATACACTACGGCCAATTTAAACCATAGCACCCGCAGGAAACCCACAAGAACACGGGGAGAACTTGCAAACCCCACACAGAAACGGCAACTGAACCAGCCAGAACTGAAACCAGCGACCTTCTTGCTGTGAGTCGACAGTGCTAACCACTGAGCCACCATGTCGCCCTTTATCAAATATTTCATTGAAAAATCATATTTACTTTTAGTAAACATTTGTTGTGAGATTTTGTTTATATTATTTATATATTTGATTGTGTATCATCTCTTATTCAAATACGAAGCTGTTCTTCTCATGTAATGTTTCATGTACAGTTGAAGTCAGAACTATTAGCCCCCCTGAATTATTTGCGCCCCTGTTTATTTTTTTCCCCAATTTCTGTTTAATGGAGGGAAGATTGTTTCAGCACATTTCTAAGCATAATAGTTTTAAAAACCTATTTCTAATAACTGATTTATTTTATCTTTGCCATGATGACAGTGAATAATATTTTACTTGATATTTTTCAAGACACTTCCATGCAGCTTAAAGTGACATTTAAAGGCTTAACTATTTTAATTAAGTTAACTAGGCAGGTTAGGGTAATTAGGCAAGTTATTGTATAACGATGGTTTGTTCTGTAGACTATCCAAAAATATATAGCTTTAAGGGGCTAATGATTTTGTCCCAAAAATAGTTTTAAAAAAATTAATAACTGTTTTTATTCTAGGCAAAGTAAAACAAATAAGACTTTTTCCAGAAGAAAAAAAATTATCAGACATACTGTAAACTTTTCCTTGCTCTGTTAAAAATCATTTGGGATATATTTAAAAAAGAAGAAAAAAATCAAAAGGGGGCTAATAATTCTGACTTCAACTGTATATAGCCACAAAACAGCCATAGAGTAAGTTGTGACAATAAATAAAATCATGAAATAATTTTATTATAAATGAGGAAAAAAATAAACAACTTAACTGGACGTTAAATAAAGTATAGCCTTCCAAACCTTCCAAAAATTCCATATATTTCCTCTTTGCATTCCTCCCAGCTGACCCAACAAGGATGTCTCAAAAAAGGACAACAAATCACATGTTTGAGCAGCAGAAGCACACCACAAGTTAAAATAAGGAGGCTCATAGCTCAGACCACAAGGGTGTGTGGACAATAGTAGTGTGCGTGTGTGAACTCAACTCGACCTCTGTGATTTGTTCAAAAGCAGCACTACAAACTCATCTGATTAAATTAGTCTCTACACACACACACACACACACACACACACACACACACACACACACACACACACACACACACACACACACACACACACACACACACACACACACACACACACACACACACACAAACACACAAACACACAGATTATCACCGCCATGTACACAAACAGCTCAGTCACAAAACTACAGAGAAGCCAGAGAGCTGATGATCTGATGTCGGACTGCTGGATTAACCACAATTAGCCGTAAGACCTAGTGAAGTACTTTAAAGGGGTCATGAACTGAGAAATAATATATTAAATGTTAAATATTTAATGATATTAAAACTATTATGTTTATGTGTTTAAAAAAAAAAA